GAGGGAATATCCTAAAAGCATAAACTCCAGAAGGACAGGATGAATGCTGAGTCTCAGGCGCCCCACCCTCTATCCTGATTCAGCGGTGGGACAACGGATGTGGCCAGAAAAGGATAAGGAAAACCTCCAAAGGGATCAGTGGTGAGTCCAGGGCCCCCTCCTACCCAGCAAGCTTCTGAACATCATACCCACACTGCTGGGGCATGACTGAGAGGGATGAACCCAGGCAGAGCCTGCATGTCAGTTGCAGTAGGAGGACTCTACTCCAGGATAAGCCTGGCTTGGGCGCCCATCACCAGTACCTGGGGAAGAGACAATCCCACACCTCTCCACTGGAGGGGGTCTCCCTGACCATACGAGAGTGAGAGGGGTGGACTGAAGTCCCACCTATCCCCACTGTCCACTCCTCCTTCCCTGGGCTGGACACTGGAGAGGTGAATGAGGCCAAAGCTCTGCAGGAGATACCAGAGGAGCAGCTGAGAGGAATAATTACAGAACCTGCCACAAGAGGGCAGTTTTTTTCCTGTTTGTTAATTTTTTTTTTTTTTTCTTTTTGAGTTGGAGTCTCACTCTGTTGCCCAGACTGGAGTGCAGTGGCCGCTCCCAGCCACCGAAGCCTCGACCTGCTGGGCTCCGGCGATCCTTCCACTTCAGCCTTCCAAGTAGCTGGAATTACAGGCATGCGCTACCACGCCCGGCTGATTTTTTATTTATTGTAGAGATGAGGTCTTGCTGCCCAAATTTTTTCCTTTGTGCATGAATGTGTATGCGAGGGTTCGATCTGCATCACCCCCACTCCTTTTGTTTTTCTTTCTTTTTTATTTGTTTTCTGTTTATGTGTGTCTGTGAATGATTGAGTGTTCATCTTTCAGTTTTTTTGTTTGTTTTTTGTTCTCTTTTTTTTAATTCAATGTGTGTGTGAGGGTTTGATTTGAATTCCCTTTTTTTCCCCTTCTCCTTTCATTTTGGGTTGGGCATGTATATTTGGTTTTCCTGTTTTTTGTTTTATTTTTCTTTGTTATTATTCCAGTTTATTTTGGTGTGTGTATTTGTTTGTTTTGCTTTGGTTTCTGCTCTTGTTGCTCTATTTTTATTTATTTATTTTTTAAAAAAATTTTGTCCATCTCACTTCATTCTACTTTTCTCTGTTCTCTTCATTGCTATTATTGTATCTTGGACTCCGGGGGCACATGCACATACCCATTGCATGGCCATATAGAATGGTGGTGGGGTGTGGGTCTCAGGAAACCCATACCAGAATCAGTGAACATGGTGATTTGCAAGTAGTTTCTCAATCCTAGCTCCCCATCCACCACCTTATTCAACTCTCAAAACTACAACAGACAGCAAAGCTTCCCACCTACAACCCTGTTTCAAAATAGAACAAATTCAGAGCCCTGATCAGGGAAGAATAGAGGGCTGAGCAAACATCAGAAGTGAAAACCTCTCCCACTGCCACTGAATAATGCAACTAAAGAGAAAAGAAAGAGATGTCACAATCAACCCTGAAGAAATACAAAAGATTATCAGAGATTATGCACACATGTATGGAAACAAACTTGATAACTGAAATGAAATGGAGGACTTTCTGATATCACACAACTTCCCAAGGTTGAAACAAGAGGACATTGAGACCCTAAATAGACTACTAACAACCCAGGAAATTGACTCCGTCATAAGGAAACTACCTACAAAAAAAAAAAAAAGCCCTGGACCAGACAGCTTTCCAGTGGAATTCTACAAAATGTACATGGAACATGGAGGAGCTGATACCAATCCTACTGAAAGTATTCCAGGCAATTGAGAAAGATGGAGTTTTCCCCAAGTAATTTTATGAAGCTAACATCACACATCACACTGATACCCAAACTGGATAAAGATCAAAAAAAAAAAAAGAAGAAGAAGAAGGAGAACTACAGGTCAATATCTCAAATGAACATAGATGCAAAAATTATCAACAAGAGTCTAACAAATTGGATCTGACAACACATCTCAAAAATCATCCACCATGACCAAGTAGACTTCATCCACAGGACGCAGGGCTGGTTCAACGTCCTCCAAGATCATAAATGTAATTAAATACATCAACAGATGTAAAAACAAGATCAACGTGATTATATCATTAGATGGAGAAAAAGCTTTTGATAAATCCAGCATCTCTTCTTAATAAAAATGCTCAAACACCTAGGCATAGAAGGAACATACTTCAAAATAGTAAGCACCATCTACAATAAACCCATAACCAGCATATTGCTCAACGAACAGAAACTGGAAACATTACCCCTGAAAACCAGAATAAGACAAGGCTTGTTCAACATTGTGTTAGAAGTTCTAGCTAGAGCAATTAGACAAGAGAAGGATATAAGGGTATCTAAATAGAAAAGGAGAAGGTTACGTAATTCCTTTTTGCTGACAATATGATGCTATACCTCAAAAACCCAAGAGAATCTGTCAAAAATCTGCTCTCACTGATAAAGGATTTGAACAAAGTTTCATGGTACAAAATAAATATGGAAATGACATTTTCATTTTTTTTTTTTTGAAAGCAAGATTTATTGAGAGGACAGAAAGTTCCCACAGTGGGAGGGGACCCAAGGGGGTTGCCCTACAGTTGCATTCTTATATATCAACAACAAGCAGGCAGAGAACCAAATAAAAAACACAATCCCATTCACAATAGACACACACACACACACACACACACACACACACGAGAAATACTTTGGTATCTTCCAAACCAGAGATGTGAAAGATCTTTGTAATGAAAACTACAAAACACTGCTCAAAGAAATCCAAGAAGACACAAACAAATGGAAACATATTGCATGCTCGTGGATAGGAAGAATCAACATTGTTAAGATGTCCATCATACCAAAGGTAATCTACAGATTCAAAACTATACCCATTAAATTACCAAGATCATTCTTCTCAGACCTGGAAATGACAGTACAGAAATTCATATGGAAACATAAATGACCATGAATAGCCAAAATAATCCTTAGCAAAAGAAACTATAAGAACCTTAGAAAACGTAGGAGACATCCTAATAGAAATTAGAACAGGCAACCAAATCCTGATCATAACCTCAAGTGCCCATGCCATAAGATATAAGATAGACAAGTGGGACCTTATCAAACTGAAAAGTTTCTGCAAAGCAAAAGAAACCATCAAGAAAGCAGGGAGACAGCCCACAGAATGGGAAAAAGTATTTGCCAACAATGATGTATCTGACAAAGGTCTAACATCCAGGATCTACAAGGAACTCAAATATGCTGAAAGGAAAAAAACAAACAGCCCCATTAGAAAGTGGGCAAAAATACATGAATAGACACTTCTCAAAAAAGAAATATGGGCAGCCAACAGACACATGAAAAGGGTTCAGCCTCACTAATCATCAGAGAAATGCAAATCAAAACCACATAATAAAACAACAGATGCTGGCAATTGATGCAGAGAAAAAGAACGTTCCTACACTGCTAGTGGGAATGCAAATTAGTGTAACCTCTTTGGATAACAGTGTGGTGATTTCTAAAAGAACTAGAAATTTACCTTCCATATGACCCAGCAATCCTCTTACCGGGAATATACCTGGAGGAACTCAAATCATTCCACAAAAAAGATACCTGCACACGCATGCTTATCGTAGCACTATTCACAACAGCAAAAACACGGAGCCAACCTTTCTGCCCATCAAAATTGGACTGGATTTTTAAAAATGTGGCACACAATGGAATATTATGCAGCCATAAAGAAGGACAAACAGCTGGGCTCGGTGGCTCAGCTTGTAATCCTGTGCTTTGGGAGACTGAGGTGAGTGGACTGCCTGACCCCACGGGTTCGAGACCCACCTGGGTAACTTGGCGAGACCTCATCTCTACAATAAATCCAAAAATTAGCCAAGCATGGTAGCTCATGCCTGTAGTTCCAACTACTTGGAAGGCTGAGGCGGAAGGATTGCCAGAGCCCAGCAGGTTGAGGCTGCGGTGGCCAGGAGCATGCTACTGCACTCCAGTCTGGGTGACAGAGTGAGACTCGAACTAAAAAAAAACCTCAAAAAACATAAGGACTTTGCAACAACTTGGATGGATTTAGAGTCTATCATACTCAGTGATCACAGAAATAAAGAACAGAGTACCACATGTTCTCACTCATCAGTGGACCCTAAACATTTACCATAATACTATAAGAAAGGGATTGGTGGGATACAGCTGGGATGAGGGGGGAACGCAATATCAATAAGGGTACCTAATTTCACACCAGGCAGTGGGGACCAAAGGGAGGCCCAAACTTTACCTGTATGATGACCACTTGTATACCTAATCCTGAATTATATCTCACATCTTTAATATAAAAAAGATATATTAAATATGAAAATTAATATTAAAGTCTTTCTCATTTTTCAGACAATTGACCATTTAAAGTAAAACTAACAACCTTGCAATGTGAGTTTTATAACATATAGAAGTAAAATTTAGGACAATAAGAGTACAAAGACCAGGAAGATAAGTAGACATATACTGTTGTAAAGTTTTTACATGAAAAGCAGTATCACACCATTTATTTATTTGATAAGTTAAAGATATATTTTGCAAACCCTAAACATTTTTAAAAAACCTAAAAGAAGTATGTCTAATAAATCAACAGAGGAGATAAAATAGAATCATTAAAAGATACACAATTCAAAAGAAAACAGGAGACAAGTAAAACACAAATGGGATAAATAGAAAAACAAACAAATATATTTGGCTTAAACCCAACCACATGGATAAGTGCATTAATGTAAATGATCTAAACGCTCCAGTCATGATTGCCAGAGTGAATAAAAAGTGAAATCCAACAATATGCAAAATGATGGAAAAACATGTACAATGGAAACACTAATTAAAAGAAGGCTTGGGGCGCCCGGATCTGCGCGGCAGCGGCGACGTGAGCGCGCAGGGGGGCGGCGGCCTCGCTCGTCTCAGCGCCTGCGTCGGTGGCTGACGCCGAGGGCCGGAGAGATGTCGGATTTCGACAGCAATCCCTTCGCGGACCTGGATCTCAACGACCCGTTCAAGGACCCTTCAGTTACAGAGATGACAAGAAATGTTCCATCAGGACTTGATGAATATAAATCCATTCTCGGATTCTAGAACACCTCCACCAGATAGTGTGAAGATGCCTAATGTACCTAATACGCAGCCAGCAATAATGAAACCAACAGAGGAACGTCCAGCTTATACACAGATTGCAAAGGAACATGCACTGGCCCAAACTGGACTTCTTAAGCGCCAGGAAGAACTAGAAAGAATAGCTGCAGAATTCGATCGTCAAGAACGAGAAATGCAAAACCTCAGTCAACACGGCAGAAAAAATAATTGGCCGCCTCTTCCTAGCAGTTTTCCTGTGGGACCTTGTTTCTATCAGGATTTTTCTGTAGACATTCCTGTAGAATTCCAAAAGACAGTAAAGTTTATGTACTGCTTGTGGATGTTCCACGCTGTAACACTGTTTCTAAATATCTTCAAATGCTTGGCTTGGTTTTGTGTTGCAAGAGCGGTTGATTTTGGTTTGAGTGTCCTGCGGTTCTTGCTTTGTACTCCTTGTTCATTTGTCTGTTGGTACAGACAACTTTACGGAGCTTTCAGGAGTGACAGTTCATTCAGATTCTTTGTATTCTTCTTCGTCTGTATTTGTCAGTTTGCTGTACATGTTCTTCAGGCTGCAGGATTTCATAACTGGGGCAATTGTGGTTGGATTTCATCCCTTACTGGTCTCAACAAAAATATTCCTGTTGGAATCATGATGATAATCATAGCAGCACTTTTCACAGCATCGGCTGTTATCGCACTAGTTATGTTTTAAAAAGTACATGGACTATATCGCACAACAGGTGCTAGTTTTGAGAAGGCCCAACAAGAATTTGCAACAGGTGTGATGTCCAACAAAACTGTCCAGACCGCAGCTGCAAACGCAGCTTCGACTGCAGCATCTAGTGCACCTCAGAATGCTTTCAAGGGTAATCAAATTTAGAGAATCTTCAAACAATACCTGTTACCTTTTGACTGTACTTTTTTCTCAAGTTACTGTATTCTACAAATATTTTTATGTTCAAAATACACAGTACACACAGCATGGATATTTCCTGTTCACTTGTGCATGAGCTAAAACCAGAAAAACTTCCTTGTCTTATTTACTTTACCTAATTGTTTCTTAATATTTCAGTGCCCCTAGCAGAAAAAATATTACATGCTAATTAAATACTCTCCATATTTTTTGGGGGATGATGTTCAGCAACTTATTTCAGTGGTGACACACTGAAATTAATATGGTACTTATGATTAATAATGCATTTAATACTAACTGCAGTAGTTCTTTCAAGAATCTTTAGAAATAAGAATTGCACATTGAAACAGTACAGCTATGTTTCATTCCTTTCCCCTATTTATATTGAAAGAAATAGGCCAACAGAGACTTAAGGATTTTTAAATTGGCTTGCTTTTTAGCAGTTTCAGTCACCAGTGAAAAGCCTGTGTGCATTTTGTAGTAGATAATGTAAATTTTATCTTATTTTCTTTTTTTAGAGTAGTTGATAATTTGATAACAATCTCTGATTTTGCATGGGTACCACCTTTCTTAAACTAAAAGAATTAGTATTTGGGGTTCTGTACTGCATATGTTTGTAGGATGCAGGGGTTAATGGAATCATAAAAGTGATTTTCTGTAATAGTTTCTTTTAAATAAACATTCATTGAGGTACAATATGATAATTTAATATAATATGCAGTACATTATCCAAAAGAGGAGGTGGTTAATCAATACAATAGAATGTAGTGGCAATAATTCCTTTTATTTATTTTTTTAACAGTATTCATATAGTAAAATTTTACTGTATGGAAATTTTGGTATATTCTTATGGCTACTTTTTTTAATTGAACTGAGATTGTGTTTGGCAGCTCTTTTGGGGAATGTGTGTGCAATTTTTAACAGGTATTAAAGGCTAGCCTAACTCTTGTCTAAAAAGAAAGTACAGTATTTAAGGGATTTTTCTTTTAGCTCTCATCTGTAGTGGCATTAAAAATAAAAAGATCTTGGCACTTTTCATATACTTGAACCTCTAATGCACCTGTCTTTCACTTTTTAAGACAGACTGAATACATCTAAGATTTTTAGCAATAGAAAAACTAAAACCTTTAATTTGCACAAAGAGAGAAAATACAAATATAGTCAAACGCATTAATTATGAAGATAATAACATTAAAATTGATACTATGCAGCACAGAACTTCATTCATATAGTCTACTTGGATTCAAACTTTGAATCAATTTTAGTGCTGATTAAATGACATTTGTAATTCATGCTACTGTGTTTTGAAAGTCTTTAGCTAATTTAAGATTGTAGAATGATAGGTATGATCATTCAACTTGATTTTAAGAAAGGATTATATTGTTTGAGATTTTGAGTCTTCCATTTCTTTAAAAAAAAAAAATCACTGGGCATAAATGGTTAAATCACTTTCATTCTCCCCAAATCTGGAGTTAAGAAGTTTCATGCTGAGGGTGGGTGCCAATTTCTCACAATTTATGAAGAGACTTTGCCATGGATCCATCCAGATGGTGTTTACATTCGATTTATTTGGGACTTTATTGAAGTTAAATATACTTGGAAGTATTTCTTTTGTTCTTCAAAGTTTGCATTTAAAGCTATTTTTGTCAATACTTCTGATCAGTGATAAACTCTACCTATATTCTCAACCAAGCCACCTGAAGTTTTTCAGGACCTGGAGTCTCACTGAGCATCTTTTTAGTCAGTGTGGTTTATTGAGTGTGAATTTTACACACATTTAAAACATTAACCACAAAATACAAGAGCACTTATAGTCACCATTAACTTTTATTCCAAGTCCATTTTTGTTTTTCTTTAAACTACAAACAAAAGATATATTAGAGACTTTAAAAACACTGAAATACTTTGAAAGAATAAGAAAGAATTTGACAGAACAAGTACAACTCACAGTATCTTTTTTTGTGTGAATGGGAAATATTTTAAAACCCATTTATTTAGGTTAATACAAGTTTGAGAAAATTATGTTTTCTAAAAACATAAATGTACATTAAAATGGAAATGCTTACAGTTTGTTCAGGTATGAAAGGAGCTTTAAATTCTTATAGTCACTATTCTTTGAACAATAATCAGTAAATAGATACATTTTCACTCAGCAAAAGATTGGCATTTGTTAGTGTTTTATGTTTAATACTAAAATCACAATCATGAAATCACAGTCATGAAATGGCCCTCACATAGTTATCTGTGTCACTTTTCAGTTTGCAATGTTAAATTGTGGCTATTTCATTTCAAACTAAAGTTTGGACACTGGAAAATCATTGCTCAGTGATTTGTAATTTGGCAGGTGGATTATTTATCTAGGGATGTTTGTATATTTTGTCAATAATATTGCGCTGCCATCATGGTGACTGTCATGGTTCTATATAAATGCCCTCCATCTGCCCCCTAATGTTGCATGTTTTCAGTGGTTTGGAAGTTTTGTATATTTATTGTATTAACACAGAGTGTCATAAAATAAAATGCTGTTTACTGGAAAAAAAAGAAAGCTTGCGGACCAAAGGGAGGCTCAAACTGTACCTGTATGATGACCAGTTTTATACCTAATTTTATTATTATTAAAAAAATAATAATAATTTTAAAATATTTTAAAAGAAGGCCAAAGTGACTATATTAATATAGACAAGATTTATTTCAGAACATGGAAAATTTTGAGGAATAAATAGAATGATGAAAGAATCAACTTACGAAGAAGGATAGCAATCCTACATGTGGATTCATGTAATAATAGAGCTTCAAGATACATAAAAACAAAAACAAAACTGATAGAACTCAAAAGGAAAATAGACAAATCAACAATTATGGTTGAGGATGCAAAAATTTCTCTTTCAGTAATTGATAGAACAATTAGAGAAACCAAATCAGTAAAGATATAGAAATCTTGAACAATAATATCAATCTCCTTGACTAAGCTAAAATTTATAAAACTCTCCAACCAACATTCATAATGGCAATAAAATTATGAAATGCATAGAAATATATTAACAACATATATAAAAAATCTGTACAATGAAAATTATAATCATTGCCAAGAGAAATTTAAAAAGACCCAAATAAATGGAAAGCTGTAACTTGCTTAATGGTCAGAAGATTCAATATTGTTAATTCTCCCCAGACTGATCTACACATTCACAACAATTTCAGACAAAATCACAGCAGATTTCTTTTTTTGTTTGTTTGTTTAAGCAACTTGTATAAGTATACTTTCAAAATATATAGAGAAATATAATGGACCAAGAGTAGCCCACACAGTTCTGAAATAAGAAAAAAGCTTAAAGATTTACACTATATAACTTTAAGACTTAATTTAACACTACAGAAATCAAGACAGGCTAATATTGGTATAAAGATAGATATAGATATTAATGGAGTGGAAGAATGACCAGAAATAAACTCACATATTCATAGTCAGTTGAAATTTGACAAAAGTGCTAAGGTAACTTAGAGGAAAATATAATATACTCAGTAAATTATGGTGAAACAATTGGATATTCATAAATAATTAATTGACTGCTCTCTGTCTCTATGTTCTAAGTTCAGACTTTTACCTGACTTTCCTGGGGTCCCATGTTGCTGTCCCTGCTGTAACCTGCCTTTAAGGAAGTTCAACAATGCCCTGTCATTACTGGACCCATGTTACTGCTGTGTATCAAGTCATCATGGCATGACCCAGAGATGAGCTCAGACTCTGACCAATCTTCATATGCCCATGCCCATGCCTCAGACACTGGTGTCAATGTCATAGCAAGTGCACCAGTGCCCCAGATACCATGTCAGTTCCACGTGCCTCTGACCACAGAACCCTCCTTGGCTTTACTGTGCTTGGAGTATCTACACCATAAACATTAGCACCACCATTGCTAAAATTTTCTATACACTCACTCACTCAAATTGGGACTCACATAGTCCAACTGGCACCACCGCCAGTTCCTCCCTTCTCCACCAACATTGCTGAGAGTGTGCCCAGGATCCCAATACCACAATGGCTGTGTGTGTGTCAACACATCACGCATGGTACCAAAAGGGATCCCTTTGACTAAAACTCTGCATGAGATAAAAGTTGAATAGGAGAAGCCCAACAGCTTTTACTACTGAGGACCTCAACAGTTATAGCTAACACACCTACTGCAGATATATAAAGTTTTGGCTATCATGAACCCCTGTAGTTTTTGCCAATGTTGACTTCAGCTGAGGAAGCTGCGTGGAGACCACGCCACTGTGCCCCTCCTGGAACAAGAGATGCTGTACCCCACCCAGCGAGCGCCCTCACAGGCATCCACAGGTGACATTCTTTTTCTACTGTATCTACTTCATAAGGCTAGATGAGGTGACTTATTCCCTCAAATACACATACATCAATGCAAGGCCACTAGAAACACACACAAAAAGTAAGAGAATATAATACCAGCAGAGAAATCACAACAACTATCCAGAAACTGACCTCAAAGAAATGGAGATCTGTGAGTTACCTGAAATAATTCATAATAATTACTTTAAGGAAATTCAACAAGAGAAAACAGATAGACAAGACAACAAACTCAGGAAAATAATACAGGAACAAAATGGGAAGTTCAACAATGAAAAATTATTTTTAAAAAACAAATGGAAATTCTGAGCTGAGGCATATAATGAATGAAAGGTAAAAATACAACAGATAGGTGCACTAGCAAACAATCAAGTAAAAGAATTTGAAAATTCAAAGACAGATCTTTTGAAATTATCCTGTCAGAAGAGAAAAAAGAAATAACAAAAAAGAGGAAAGAAAGCTGATGAGACTTAATGGTACACCATCAAGGGAACCAATAGTTGCATTATGGGAGTTTCAAAAAAAAAAAAAGAGAGAAAAAGGCAGAGCTATAGCTAACACACTTTTTAAAAATAGTGGCAGAAAACTTTGCTAATTCTGGGAGTGATATGCATATCCAGATTGAAGAAGTTCAAAGATTTCTAAACAGATTCAATCCAAAGATGACTTCACCCAGATACATTATAATCAAATTGCCAAAAGTCAAAACAGAGAGTATTTTCAAAGCAGCAAAAGAAAAGTGAGTTTTCACATACAAGGGTACATCCACAAAGCTATCAGCAGACTTAGCAGAAACTGTGCAGGCCCACAGAGTGAAATGAATCATTTAAAGTGCTGAAAGAAAACTATCAATTGACAATAGTGTAACAGCAAAGCTGTCTTTCAGATATAAAGAAGAGATAAAGACTTTTCTAGTTAAACAAAACCTGATGCAATTTATCAAATGCTAAAGGTAGTTAATTAAGCTAAAATGGAAGGATGCTTTTAGTCACATGAAAATGTATAAAAACATAAAAGGTACTGGTAAAGGTAAATTTATAGTAAAATTCACAATATCCTAATACTGAAATAATGGTGTACAAATCAATTTTAATTCTAGTATGAATATTAAAAGACAAAAACATAACTATAGCGACAATATTTTGTAAATTGACCTACAAGATAAAAAGATATGCATATCCAGGGTTTTTTTTATATCAATATTTTTTATTTTGATATTGTGGGGTACAGTTAAGGGTAAGGTATACAAATATGCTTCGTTCAGGCATCCTTGTTGATAAGGGGTGTCTCCCCATCCCCAGACAGATATTGACTATCATTAAACCTGCCTCCCTTCCCCTCCTCCCCATAGTTTCCCACTACTGTCAGTCATTTTCTTATA